ATCTCAGAAGAAGGCCGTGGCAACCCGCTTCTGTATTGTTACTGAGGAACTAACCACCATGGCTATTAAATTAACAAGCATCAAGTCTGACCTGAGGGCATTTTTACTAACACCATAACAATATACTGTAATCCGTACCCCAGAGAAGATCAGCTGAAGCACTTCCAGTATCTATGGGGTTCTTTTCTTGTAAGGTAGATTAAAAAAAAAGTACCCAAAGCAAAATCCCTCTGTTCACGTGCAGAGAGCCAGTATGCGTTCTGTACTTTCCCTTCAGCTTATCCGCCTGCCGTTTTCAAAAGCTGCCCCTGTGCAACAGCGCAGGGAGGACAAGGTGAGGCAGCGTGATAGATGTTTGCAACTTGGCCTTGGAGCTACAGAAATGCACGTTTGCAAAGTTGCAGCCATCAGATCCTGACTTGTCCTGCTCTGCACAGCTCCATAAGTGTGTTTGTTGCATGCTCCATCAATGCAGCCCCTGTGGGATAGGTATTGGCCTTTATAGCAACCTTGGTTGAATTCACACAACTCGCTGAACCTGGTTCCCAAATTTGTCAGTTTTTCGGATTTGCCCATGGAACCAGAGATGAACAACATGGCTGAGTTCCCCAAACACACACAAGCCCAAACTACTGGCCGTGGTGAAGATTAAGCTAGCTTTGTGTGCTGTGTGAATGCAGCCGCTGCATCGTTCACTGACCTGACTGGGAGTGTTGTGTGAACCCAATCCCTGCTATTCCTTAGTAAGTACATACAGAGGACCTGAAACCCACAGTCAGTTGGAGACCACCAAGTAGTCATGCTGGCTGGAGATATGGATATTGTAGTCCAATAATTCTGGAGAACATCAGATGAGAGAAAGCTGAAGGATGTGTAACCTGTGGCCACTTGAAGAAATAGAAGATGATCATATTAACTGTATTTATTAGTATTCATTATAACTCCAATGAAATCAGATGTAATTCTCATCCTGGCTCCACCCGCTCTTTCCCAGCCCTGCCCACCCCCCTGTCCTGGCTCTGCCAACTTTGCGGGGGGTGACCCCAAGCGGGGTATTTCAGCTTTACTCTTTCCCCCACCCCAAATTGTACAGACCCCCTGCTGCAGACACGAGAAAGTAAACCCCTCTGAAGTTGGGTGGGTTTGGGGGGGCCACGCAGAAGTCTGCTTTGTAAATTGCAGAGAGAGCATCTGCGGGACCAGAAGTCTGGAACGGGCAGCAGCACCGAAGAGCAGAGATGCTCTTGAGAATGAAAGGAAAGGAGAACGAGGGGAAATCATAGTGGTTTAAACCGGGGATATGCAAGCTTTGTACAAAAATTGGGTGTGGCCTACAGACCTTATCAGGGTGGCCAACCGCTCTTGTAGCGGAAAATATCTTATTCCTTTAATAACAGTAAGGGTTTTTATTTTGTTAAGAGTTAATATGGCTGGTCTTTGGCTGTGATGAAGATGAACTTGAAAACTGCGTGATGATGTCGTCATGCAACTGCAATTTATAGTTCCAGATTACGTAATGGCAGCTTTGTGTGATGATGTCATCACACCCATGTCACCACCTTTATCTTATTCCAGTTTGGTACGGACACCACTACACACTTTGATTTTGATATTGGCTTTCCCTGTGGTGTGAACCCATTAAGTGAAAATTGTGTTTTATGGTTTGGTATACTGCACATCTAATAAACCATAGTTTAAGTGAACCACAGTTGAGCTCAGTGAACCAGTCTCGAAAGTGAAAGGTTTCCTTTGTGCTTCTTCTAGAAGGTATTTGCTCAATGGTGGCCTTGAGCCGTCATCCTTCAGGCCCTGCGTCCCTTGGACGTCTTCAAACCAGTTTATCGTGCATACTTTCCCATTGCAGCACGGGACGAGGCGCAGCACGGCCCCACGTGTTCATGGCCTGTTTTCCCAGGTCCTCCTTTCTGCATACAGAAGCCGTCTGGGGAAGAAGGAACGGAGACTACAGAGGTTTAGCAGAAAAAGCCTGACAGATACGGAACATCTCTAAAAGGTTTGGCAGTTCAAGATGTCAGCGGTCGCCCCTTCGGAAGACGTGGCAATGGTGCCCTTGGGAAAGGACTTGTCCCCAGACCAGCCGACGCAAAGCCACACCCAGCAGCAGATCCCCGAGGATGCCGAGGCGACTTTGCCCTGGGACCAAGCTCAACACGATGCAGCTTGCAAGATGCCGCCGCCTGGGGTACTGGAGATGGACGCCAGGCCTAGCCCAGAGGGGAGCATAAAGGAGGAGGTTGTGGACAACGCCATGGACCACCAGGCCTTCCTGAAGCCTCCTGAGGACAGCGAGAGCCACGGGATGCCTGCCGTGGCAGCTCACGCCTTTGTCCCCATCGACCCCCTCTGCATCGAACGTCCTCCAAGGAGGCACAAGAAGTTGCAGTGGCAGCCTCGGGTGCCTGAGGACAGGAGACAATGCGAGAAGGAGAAGGAAGACCCTGAGAAGCAAACCTTCATCATCCAAGGCTGCTCGGCCTGCTCGGATGATCTTCCCGGTCACGCCAGGGAGCCGTCCCAGGCCTCCTGTTGCCAGAAGAAGGGCAGCTGCAGCTCAGCCAACCTCAAAGCCGTGGCCTCCATGAGTAGCGCCATGATCCTCTTCCCGTGCCTGATCTACGGCGCCTACATCTTCCTGCCCTTTGACGTTCCCCCCATGACAACCATGAGCTCCCGCCTCGTTTACACCCTTCGCTGCGGGGTTTTTGCCACGTTCCCCATCATTTTAGGTGAGCAGGGTTCTGCTCTGCTGCAGAGAAGGAGGTGCCCAGGGAAATGCAAACCGTTTCCCTTCCAACTCCCGAGTCTCTAGGTTTGGCTGAGAAGAAGACAAGGACAAGCTCCTTGTCGTATTGTTGCCCAGAGAACTATTCAGTAGGAATTCAACTTTTACCTTTTTATACCAACACCTGTTTTCCTGGCCAGGCTTGAAAACAGGAGAAACGGGTTTGGGAGGTTGCGCAAGAAAAACGGTCTTTAAATTGGATTTCCCTAAATAATAAAGATCAGTGCTTGAATTATGGAAGAAAACATTGGGAGATCCTTAAGATCTACCAGTCCAACATTTGGCTCTTCCCAGCCAAATTATCCCTTCCCCGCTTTTAATTAGATTTCTGAAAATGGGAACTAAAGGGTGCATCACAAAAGCTGGGGGGGAATGGGTCTGCCCCCAGGAAAAGCGGAATGAGAGATCAACACTGTCCCATCTCCGGCATTCAGCTTTCCTTCTCCAGCATTCCAGGTATTCCTGGGACTCTGGAGCTGCTGGACTCCCAGGTCCATTGGACCCCGGCGCCTGGCCAGAACCTCTGCACAGTTGAAGACACAGCAGAGTTCTCCAACCTGGCCTTCCCAGGAGCTTCAAAAGTCGCGCCTTCCTAAGGATGATGGGAATTGCCCCCAAACCCTTTGGAAAGCCCCAGGTGCAGGAACGGAGCCTCGTGGTCTCCTTGGAGGCCCCTCTTGATCTGCCCTTTCCTGACCCCCTTCTGCCTGTCCCTCTTCCCCTGCAGGGATGGTCGTTTACGGGGTCTCCCGCCTCTGTTCCTCCTCCCTGCAGCCTTTTGAGGAGCTGAGCCGGGAGGTGGAGATCCACCGGCACTACGTTTCCCAGTCGGTCCAGCTCTTCATCCTCTACTTCTTCAACATCGCGGTCCTTTCTACCTACCTGCCTCAGGAAGGCCTCAAACTGATCCCGCTGCTGACGGCCCTTTTTGCAGTTTCACGGTAAGAGAGACAGTAGAGCTCCCCCCTCTTGCTTCTGGACCTCCCCTCTGGGTTGGAGGCATTTCAACAGTCATTCAACCCAGTGTTTTTCAACCTTGGCAACTTTAAGAGGTGTGGACCCCAGCTTTGCTGGCTGGAGAATTCTGGGAGTTGAAGTCCACACCTCTTAAAGTTGCCAAGGTTGAGGAACACTGATTTAACCCAATGATGGTTTATTGGATGAACTCCAATTGGCTGGGTTCATACTAAACCGTAATCCATGGCTTGGAACTTAGGTCACAAAAGCAGACCAGTTACAGGATGGCAAGGAGCAGGGGTGCCCGCAGTCACACATAACACCAGGCAGAACTTTGATTGTTTTTTACCTTATCCTGCAGACAGCCGTGGGAAAAAGGGTTGCATGAACCAGGGCATTAAACCAGGTGGAAGGGGAAGTCCACCTCATGGCTTCCGCTGGTAGAACAATTGCATTAGTTGGGGGGGGGGGTCTGCCCATTCTTACAGGAAACCATGGTTTGTCGAACACAAGGTCTGGAATCTAAATCATGCTAAATCAAAATCAAACAAGCAGTGTTGTTGGTATCTTTCCTGCAGCTGAGCAGATCCAACATCGTTGTGTCATGGAGAAAATAACCATGTTAGTGTTCTCCTATACGGGGCTGCAAAACTCCAGATACCAGTGGATGGCACAAAGGGCTAAAGTTCTGACTGTCTCTGGTGCCACCTGGTAGCCCTAAATATGCACTTTAAAAAGGGAGGAGGGGGAAGTGTGATAAAATCAAAAGTAGTCATTTGTGGACAACGGATTTCCATCTTTGGGGTTGATTTATATCTTTTAAAAATGCATTTATTTAATTTATATTATTAAAAATGCTGGTTGGAACAGTTGATAGCTCTACAATCTAAAAGCCAGGACATAAAAGGAAAAAGGAATGGGGAGGGAAGAGGAAAAAGTAAGCCTAATTCTTCCAGTTAAATATTAGTTAAGGCAGAAAAACATGATTGAAATGGTTTTCCAAGGAGGGCTGCTGCTGGTACTGGATTAAAAGTTTTCTGCTTTTGGCTCTCTCTGAGTTGTTCTAAGATGGTGTAGAAGGAGAACTGGGTTAGTTTATGATGGCAAAAAATCAGGAGGAATCTGGTGATACCTTTTGCAACTAACATCAGATGCACAGAGTGGTTGGCTGGACTGATGCAGGATTTACACTGGTGTGAGATGGAAAATGAGTTGGTGATGCAGATGCAATTACACATGAGACAGATTATTTATGAAGAGTGTATGGCTTTTAATAAAATTTGTTAGTTGGAAAAGATGTTACCAGACCCTGATTTTTTGTGCTAAGATGGGAACACTGATTGTTAGGAAACGTCCATTTATCCTATCAATTATACAGTTGATTTGCAAATCTTTTAATATATTCCTGGGCACTATAGAAGAATAATTGCGTTCATGGATGGTGGAAAAAAAACAGGAGGAGTCTGGTGGCATCTTTTCCAATTTTACAACTGGGCATAAGCTTCCATGAGCTGCAACACAGTTCGCCAGACGCACAGAGCAGCCGGACTGGATTTAAATTGGGGTGACATGAGGGGAGGGGAAGGCAGGCTGGTTATGCAGATGTCCCATGAGATACAGTGGCTTACAGGCCTCTTATCAGTTATCAGTTGTAATGTGTTAAAAACCCATGGTGTGTGTGTGTGATTTGTGGGGAGGCTGCCCTCACACACACACACCCCTGCCAGTTGTTAAAGGGTCAGACTGGGACCAGTTCAAGACCCCCCACGACTACAGTACAGCAAAGCCTAGTGGTTGGGTCTGCGTGCCATGCAACACCAAAGCCCATCATCCACATTCTGGTTTCAGAGGGGGGCCTGCTTTGCACCCCCCTTGCTCAGACAAGGGCTGGATTTCCCCGAGCAGAAACCCCAACTGACAATCTCGTGTGCTGGGAAAATCCAGCCCGGCCTCCCGCGTAGGGCGGTGGTGGCAGGGGTTGGCCGTCATGCGCTCCAAAGCAGGGAAGCCCCGCGAAAACTGGACCGCTTCCTTTGAAACGCGAGGGCTGGTTTGGGGGTTGATAGGTGCCTGCAGAATGTGCTGCGCATGAAACCTGGGTGGAGTTTCGATTGCACCGCTGCGGCTCCCATTTTGACCATGCAAAAAGCAGGCAGAGCTTTGGTCGGACCACTGCGGCCATCTTGACTTTTCTGACCGTGCCCTGAGGACAGCTGTGCTGTTCCCTGCTTCGCCCCGGTGATCCTTCTTTCTCCCCCCTCCAGCCTCCTCTACTGGCTGGCCTACGCCATGGGCCGCTCCTTCCGAGGCTTCGGGTTCGGCTTGACCTTCCTCCCGCTTGTCGCCATGATGCTCTTCAACCTCTACAGCATGTTTCTTCTGGACACAGAGAGCATGTTTGCCGTGGCGGGTCGCAAGGCGGGTCCCCCCCCGGAGAAGGAGCAGCAGCTGGCGGCCTCCAGGCCCCGATACTGGGGGTGAAGACGGCGAGAGCCCCCAGCCGGGGAATGTCCCGCCGGCCTTTTCCTCGGTGGCTGAAGCGCTGCTGGCTCCTCTCGGCAGACCACAGAATTGGGGGAGCCCCCGAGGCCACCTAGTCTACCCCCCTCAGCCCAGTTAAAGCATCCCGGCGAGGAGATATCCATTGAGGGGACGCCCGTCTCTTCTCCGCGCCATCGGTTCCTCGGCCAGATGGTTTGGAAGTCTTTTCTAGTGTCTTTTCAGCTGGGTGCCTTCCCTTCTCCTACTTGGAGGGAGAAAGCACAGTCTTGCCCCCCTTCTCCCTTGGGGGGGTGGGGGGGGACACGTGCTCCTCTTCCCCCTCTGCTGCATTTCCTGAAGCTCCACATGCCCCCAAACTGGGCTCTTTTCGCTTCCACTTCCTGTTCATCTGTTCCCCTTTTCTGAGCCTCTTCCCATTTCTCGGAATCCTTCCTAAACCGGGATGCCCAGATAGGTCACGAAGTGGGCTCTGACCCCTGTAAGACAAACAGGAGCGAGTGCTTCCTATAATTTGGAAATACCAGATAAACCCAAACTGGTCTCGTGCCTGATCAACAGACCGGACGACGTAGCCACGGAGGACCAGGCTGCTCCTCTTTCCGCTGGAAAGCAAAACTGGAAACATCTCACGTCTCCAAAATGGGGGCCAAATTCTGCTGCGCAGTGTTCAAGATGCATTTGACATGGGGCAGCCCCCACCTCTCTCTCTGCTAGAACCCACAGATGGGGGACTGCTTCCAAACTTCTGCCTGAAAGTGGGTGGAAGAGCAGAGCCTTTCTAGGTCTGGAAGGGGGTCATCCCACAGCTTGAGAGGTGCTGATGCCAGGCAAAAGCTGAAAATGGATTTTTTTTTTTTTTTACAAGGGATAAAAACTCAAGACGCAAAGCTTGCCTTGGAGCAGAGGTCACACTCCCACAAGATGATTTGGGGAGAGCATATTCATCGGGGGGGGGCATTAAACTAAGCATTGGCATGGTTAAGTGTAGCGTTTTCCCCAAAGATGGACAATAGATTAAATTGTAGTTAAGGTGGAGCATGTTTAAAGCATGTCAACTGTGGCATTTTGCAAGCTCCACTGAGTAACCTCACCCCTCACCCAACCTTCAGTCTAGAAGCAGGAGCTGCAAAACAGGATCATTTCAGGCAATAACCATCACACCTTTTCCCCTCATTCCCAGGAATGGCACTGGGGGAGGAAGACACCAAACTCAGTTGAGTCACCCCAAAGCTAGCCAACTGGCCGCCACAAAGAATACCAGCGAACTCCAGCTGTTTCACACAACAGGCTGAGCCCCCCTCCATTTTCTCCTAAGATGTACAATCCTAACCATGTAGTTAGTTTCTGGTCAGCTGTCTTGTGAGCATCTAACATTGGGTCCATAGATTAAACCATGATTAATCTAGTCTTGGATAAGGTGGTCATGAAAAGTCATTGAGGGTGGGCAACAAATCACAGCTGGCGATGGTTTGCCAGGTACAATAACCCTTAGAAAAATCCTACCAGTGTTTTGAGCCAAGAGGTTACTGGGCTAGGCTCACTTTGTAGCAGTCAACAATAGTTTGGGTTTCAAAAGTGCAAGTTTTGCTCATGAAACATACTGATTTGTTATTTGGAAAAAAGTTGGCTCCAGAAGTCCATTTGACCTGAGTATTGTGTTCATACAATACTCTGAATCAGCCAACCATTTTAGCCTAGGGTCTTGTGAGTCCAGAAAATTGAACTGCATAACCTCCTGGTGACATCTCAGCAGACCCTGTTGTTGTAGTTAAGCAAGGACCTTCTCGCAACTTCCTGCCAGCTTCCAACAAGTGAAGTCGATGGGGAAGCCGGTAGGAAGCCGCAAGTCCTGGGCAGCTCACAAGCAGGCTGGCAGATGGGTAAGTAGCTGCTGCCAGGCGTGGGAGGGCACGCAGGCAGCTGACACGGTGCAAGCACAGTCAGGCATGCACTACAGAGTGCAAGTGGGGGTGCTGTGGGCACGCGCGCACTATGGAGTATAAGATCCTGGGATCCCCAGGAGAAAAAGCAGTGGGAACAACTTACCGGAGCCATTGTGACATTCCCTGCTGGCTTCCCCACTGACTTTGCTTGTGGCAATCGTGCCTGCAGGATGCTGCAACCATAGTAAGTGCGAACTGGTTACCAAACACCTGAATCGCGATCATGACCATGGGGGTACTAGGATGGCCAGAACTTTGAGGACCGGTCATGCCACTTGTTCAAGCACTGTCGTAACTTCAAACAGTCACTGAATGGGTGGTCCTTAACCAAGGACTGCCTGTAATTGGTCCCATTGTTTTGCAGATCCTCAGGGAATCTAGACAAGGCAGTCCCGCCATATGAAAACCATCCTTTAGACAGCCCATCCTAAGCAATGAGGCTTAAACTACACATACGTTAAAATAATTTTTAAAGGTAAAATGGTCATCTGATCTTTATTAGCATCTTTGTCAGCCTTCCCAGGTAGATCAGACAGGAAACGTGACCAGATGAGTTAACAAAATCTTGCAAGTCTGAAAATAGAATAATCCTGCCATCTCCTTTACAGCCCGAGAAACTAGGGAGGGTCCCTTCTGAGCCTCTTTCTCCACCCATTATGCAGCTGTGGGCTTTGCTCTCTATCTGACTGTTCCCGTGGCAGCATCTCTTCGCCCTCTCTCCCAACGTCTTTCCCATGTATCATTACAATCTTTGATTGCATACTAAACCAAGCAACTAGATGTTATGCTCTTGAACTCTTAATCCTTTGCCATTGTTTCATTAGCTGGTTTGGAAAAGAGCAATTCTCTTTCTTTGCCATGATAAAAGGAGCTGTGAGTTTATATACAGCTGGTCCTCATTGAACCACCACTTGTTCAGCTATGACAGCACCGAATGAGGGGGACTTACAGCCAATCCTTGTATTTGTGGTCGACACAGCATCCCTGTGGTCATGTGATCGCCATTTGGGAGCTTGGCAACCGGCTCACAATTACGACATCGCAGCATCCTGCAGTCATGTGATTGCCGTTTACGAACTTTGCTGCCAGCTTCCAACAAGCAAAGTCAATGGGGAAGCTGGCAGGAGGTCACAGATGGTGATCACAGGACGCTGTGACCACGTGGGATTTGCCTAACGGCTGCAACTGAGACTGCCACAATTGCCGTCATAAGTTGGCACAGTCACGTGACATTGTGCCTCGCAATCATGTTGCTAAGTGATGGAGTTCCCGGTCCCAATTATCATCAGTTTAGCAAGGACTACCTGTACCAAGCTAAATCGTTGACTGTTTAACCAGTTTATTGAATAAGCCGTAATATGCTAAGCTAAAACTATCAACCCACCTTCAGGTAGACCTCCAGGCAGACAGAGGCCATCTTTCCCATCTCCCGTAAAGACAAATTGCTCTCTCCCCTCGGACACTCCCCAATTACTTCTATGAGATTCCGTATGCCCCCCATGGAAAGAAGGGTCTTCTCCCTAGCCCTTAGAGATAGATGCTCTCCCTACTAGGGTGACAGCTGGTCGATATGCCAGACTTCCCTACGAAGACCAAGGATGTATTCGCTCAGAGAAAGAGGCTGAGCCTGTTCCACGCAGCCTTCTAAAGCACCCCGTCCTCTCCTTGGCGATCGGAGCTAATACACCGGCTCTTGAGCCTGATAAACGCCACTCACAAAGAGGAGATCGAGGTATTCTTACTAAAAGACCAATCCCCGGTGTTTTGAAGGCGGTAGTGGATTTTTTATTTGTAGCCTTAGCTTATAGAAACTGTTTGGTCTCTCCTACAGAACGTTAACCTTAGCGGGCTTCTCCCTTTTATATATGTATGCACTATATATAGTTACTTATACGTATGTTAATGGTGTACTCTTATTTTTTAAATCCTGTGACTTGGTCTTGGACCATAAATAAAATAGATAAATCAGACCACAGTGTCCTTTTTGATAAACTGACAAGGTGGGGTGGATGCTCCCACTACCAGATAGATTCAAAATTGGCTGAACGTGGGCCTGTGTCCAAGTGGAGGGAGGTATGTGGCGGGATCCCTCATGGCTCTCTCTGGAGCCTAGTACTCAACTTCTTCACAAATGACTTTGATGAGGGAATAGAGGGGGTGCTCATAAAATTTGGGGATGACACAAAGCTGGGGGGGTTGCCAATGCCTTAGAAGACAGGCTCAGGTTGAAAAGGACCTTGAGAGACTGGAACTTTGACCCTTTTCCAACAAAACCTTGTTCAATGGTGAGAAATGTCAGGTTCTGAACTTAGGTAAGAAACATTTGCACGGGTCCAAAATAGGTGATACCTGTTTTGGCAGCAGTGCCTGTGAGGAGGACCTGGATGTCCTGGTAGACTACAGATTAAGTATGGGCCAGCAACGTGCGGCAGCTGCCAAAAGAGCCAATGCAGTCTTGAGCTGCATCAAGAGACGTATGGTGTCAAGATCATGGGAAGTCATCGCCCTGCTCCATGCTGCCCTGGTCAGACCACACCTGGGATCCTGGGCCTAGTTCTGGTCACTAGAAGGCTGTTGCAGAACTGGGAGGAGTGCAGAGAAGAGGAACAAAGATGGCGAGGGGCTTGGAGGCTCAACCCTATGATGAACATTGAAAGGAACGAGGCACATCTAGCCTTTAAAAGAGAAAGCTGAGGGGAGACAGGTTAGCAGCCTTTCAAGGACTCTCATGAGGAAGATGCTGTGAATCTATTCTAAGGGCAGGACAAGAACCAACGGGGGGAACCTTTTTACAGAGATATCCAAAAGCGAAAGGCCTTTCCTGATGGTGTGACCCCTTAAGTGGGGGAACAGCCCGCCTCCTGGGAGCTCCATCCAGTGTTGAAACCAAGGTTGGCTACCCTTCGTCAGGGGTGGTCTGAGGATGCCCGCCCTGGGCAGAGGGTTGCCTAGAAGATCCTCAGGGCCCCTTCCAATCCTAAGACCCTACGACTGACTTCCCAGTGTCCCTGCTCAGTGTGGGTGTGAGCACCAACAGCTTGTGGAAGGGTTTGGCTAGCACACCCACAGAGCCCGGAGAAAGGCGCAGGCGGAAAGTGAAAATGGAGCTGGGAGGGGCCTCTGAGCCCGGTTCCAAATAACCCAGGATGGGAGTCCAAGTACTGTATTGCTGGCTGGCTGACTGACTGACTGACAGACAGATAGATCTGGGAGCCTTTTCTTACACACACCAGTACAGAGTGTGGAATTATGCACAAGAGGGGACACCAGAGATTACGAACTGCATGGAGGAAGTAGAGAGAAAATACTCCTGTTTGTATCACACTAAGCTAATGCAGGTATTTAACCGTGATTTATTGAATAACTCACATATAGTTGATTTCACACACACAAAAATGCGTGAACCACATATCACCAAGGTCCCCCCTTTGCAGCAGATACATTTTGTGCCCCAAACTGGTGTTGTGCAGGGCAGTTCTCTTTTTATTAAAATAATCTTTATGAGTCCGAGGGAACACCTCCCTGGAGATCCCTCAGACTTTTAAAGATCATTTTAACAGGAGAGCTGCCCCGTGAAGCACCAGTTTGGGGCACAAAATGTATCTGCTGCAAAGCTGCATATTTCTGGGTTTGGTGCATTTGCAGAGCCGTCAAGAACAGGGCTACGGGATCTCGAAAAGCAAATCCAAAGCGTAGCCTGTTAAGGAAACCTCTGAGACCAAAACTGGACTTGAACACCGACAGACGACCTCAGAAAAGCTGTATTGCAAAACGCCCCTTTTAATTGGTCCCTGAAAGACACGTAGTACGTAGCGCGTGGCCCATAAGGCTCCCGGCCCACAAGCAAATCCCCCCTACGTGGCGTATGTTAAAACAGCAACGCACAATGAAGCCGAAAGCTCTTCGCTTCGAGCCAGGACGTCGGTGCCCCTCGATCCAGAAGTGTCCCAGCTCCTAAGCGGAGGAGAGGCCCAGGAGGAGCACAGACTCGGAGAAAATGAAGGGGGCAGGCAGGTCCTAGGAGTTGCCCCACACCCTCTCCTGTCTTCCTGGGCCGCCTTTCCCACTCTGATTTAGCACTTGCTCTCACCTGGGTTTTCCCCAGTCGGGAGAGCCCTGCTAGGGCTGGGACTTCAACTCCCAGCATTCCTAGCCGACGTGCTGAGAATGCTGGGAATTCTCATCCCAACATCTGGAACCCTGAAGGAGAGACAGGTTTGTTCCAGAAACTTGCCAAGGCTCGGCTTTGCTAACTTTTCACAGAGTTCAACTTGGCAACTCTCTGGCCTTGGCCCGACTCTTAATTTGTCCTCAGTCCGCTCTGCCCCAGAGCGCGCTAGAAAGACAGATCTATTCTGCAAGCCCCGTGGCACGCGCTCGTTTCAGCTCTTAAGCTACCAGCACAGGAGGAGGTTGTTTCCAAAGAAAAGTGTACCACTGACTCCAGAGTGCAATTTTGCCTGCTTTTGTTTTCTGAACAGCAGCCTGTAAACAACAGAATTAGCGGCTGACCCACACGCACACCTTTTTTCAACAGCTGCCAACTACTCCCCCCAACCATGCTCTTGTGGCTTTAATGAACACAAAACTGAGAACTACCTAAAGGACGTGACTTAAAAAAAAAAAACACAGGAAGGAACGGCTGCAACTCCACTCCTTAAAAGACACAGGAGCCTCAGCTAGAAACAGAAGTTGGCTGCTTAGAAGCCAGCAATTCATTGCCAAGACACTTCGTGCTGTTGATGCAAATCCGCTGAGAGAGAGAGAGAACATTTTTTCCTAAGCTGAAAGGTCTGCGGGATGATTGAGAACAGAGTTTAATGTTCTGGGTCTTTGCAAGGGTGGGAGGGAAAAGCAAAATCAGCATGGAAGGGAGGTGACCCTCCCCAAACACACTAATTCCCCTGAGAAGGTGGTGAGACGGGAAACAAAAGCTCAAGATCTCTTGCAAAATCAGTAGCAGGGAACTGCTCTAGGGAGGGGGAAAGAGTAAAGACCACCCCGAATCTCCCACCAGTTCATGATTGAGAAATGCAGTGCCCTGGAGAACTTAGTCTGTAAACTGAAACGTCCCCATGTGTGAGAATTGTGCTCCATGTTTGTGAGGGACCCCGTATACATTGTGGGAAGAGACCGTTTGAGAGATGGTCACCCAGAACCACTAAACCGTTACGTCACGTCCCATTCCTGCTCAACAAAAACTGCGCGTCCAGATGAGGTGGTCATTCCAGCAGCCCCGCAAAACCTTTTCAAAATAGCAGAAGGTGTCAATCAGGCCCGGAGAACACGTCCCTCTTCGCGATCCTGATTTTGAGATGAATTCAGCCCCCTTTAGGGGGAAAAGATAAATAAATCCCAACCCGCAGGGGCAACTGAGAGAGGTGTCTTTGGAATAATCCACAATGAAGCTTTCTTATCTATATGGAAGTGCAGCCCTGGAGAAGTGTCCACTTTGGGCTTTTCACACCCATCAGTTGATTGGCTCGTACTCAGAACATGGCTTTTCTTGCCTTGTGAGCACAACAAGGGTCCCCACAATTAAGAGGACTGCCGGCGTTCCCAGCGCCACGGCGAGAATCCCAATGACCAGCAGAGAGAATCCCTCTCTTGGTGGTTCCCCAAAACCGACCAGCGCGGACCTGGAAGGAAAAGCAAAGGGAATGGAAAATGAGTCATTATACTGCTATTTACACACAGTCTACCACAGTGTTTCTCAACCTTGGCCACCTTTAAATAAGAGGGCATCTAACCCCCCAAATCCCCACCCCCACTTTTCTGCGGGGGGATT